TTAGTTAGCTACCAAGTCAGGTTGGTATTACCAATTCTTCTTGTAGAATGGATTTATATGCATTTGACTCGATCTGCATCTTTGACGATAGTTTCCTTTCTGCATCATCTTGTCTTTTTTTTTTTTTTTTTTTTTTTTTTTTTATTAGGAGAAAACATATATAATATTAAAACAAAAATAAAAAATATACTAAGCTAGCTCTATAATTGTCCTCCACTATCAAGTCTAGACTCACTCAGCTACTATTTGGTACCTAGTGCGATTAGCAATAATGATAAATTTTCCCCCTTAAAAGAGAGGTTTGCCTAAGCAAAGTTATTTTTTATTAATCTACAGAAGACTACTATGTGTTTATCAAGACTTCTCTATTATCCCACAATTAGAGATCACCAATTTGATGATATCCTCTCATAGAAGGAAAAAAAAAAAATTTTTTTTAAAAAAAAAGAAATGAGGTAATATATAAAAGAGTAATAAAGAAGAATGAAAATAAAATCCAAACAAAAATAAAAAAAAGAAAATCCTGAGTAAAAATTAAAGATACTATATACAAAAAATATACTACTCTAGAGCACTACTATTTATATTACTAGTATTACTTTCGATATTTTGATAAATTCATTATGAATACTCTAATAAAAGTAAATATTATTATAAGTACTTGATATTTTTAAATAATTTTGAAATATTAAAATTACCTGTTCTACTATTTGTCTATCTTTGATACTATATAAATTATATAAAATTTGTATTTAGCTTAAATTGTAATCATTAATTAAACAATAATGATAAAAAACAAAGGATCAAGTCAGCATTAAAGATAGTACTCAAGCAATTTGCAATGACTAATATTATATGATCCTTAGTCATTTGAGCAAGTGCATGCCAAATTTGTTTTTTTGCAATATTATCAAAAGCAAAGGTAGCTTCATCAAGTAGAATAATCTATTTTAAATATTAGAATAAATATTTTAGCCTCTATTTGAATATAAAACAAATATTGGTAAAAAAATATAACAATAAAATATATAAACCTGATAATAAATTAGGAAAAAACAAATTATTTCATTAGTTTTAACAAATACTAAAAAATAAAATTAAATAAAATAAAATAAAATAAAATAAAATAAAAACCTTCAATATTGTTTTTGTAATCACTATATATTGTTCTTCTTCACTACTTAAACTCAAACTACCTTATATATATGACTAAAATTTTTAATAGTTTTAATGAAACTGAAAATCTGAAACCCACTTTCAAAACCTAAGTTGAATCTGAAACCTTTGCCATAACTAAAAATTTAGCTAAAATTTATTTTGTATAAATTCAATATATCAATACATATAAAAATATATATATAACAATTTTAACCCAAATTTTTATCATTATCAATCACTATTGACATATTTCTAGCTAATGTTTCTACATCAAAATCATTACATTGTGGAGCTAATACAACAGTTTGTCTTCTTGAACTAATTTCTGTATTATCTTCATATATTTTTTAGTCTATATTAAACATTTGTGATCTAATATCTATATCTCTCATAATATCTAAAGAAAATACTTTAAATGTATCTATTTTCATACTAACATTATTATTATCTGCTACTATATTAGAATCTAACTCAGTGATTTTATAGTTTCATTATTAATTGCTATAACAGAATCAATTATTTGATTATATAATAGATTCTCAAGCATATTAATTGTATAATAAGGTAATTCTTGTTTAGCATTAGTGATAAAAATGTATGTAATTTACACATTGCTTCTACTTATTCTATATTCAAATTAGTATGTCTTTGATTATAAAACTAGCTAAGAACTGAAAAGGAACGCTTACATGAAGCACTATATGATGTTATAGCAAAGAGCTGAAGTGCCAAAGCCTATAATTAAAGTAGTATATATAAAAAATTAGTACTGATAATAATTTTTTAAATAATTAATAGTATAGAAAATTTTGTTTTATAACTAATTAAAAAAGAAAATATTTAAAAAAACTTTAGTAATTTAAAATTTTATTTTGTCTACGTATAATTGTTAAATAAAATGCCCTAACTAAATCAATATTTTTAATTAAATATGTAATATTTTTTAATTACATATACATATTGATATGTATATATAATATTTAAATAAAGTTATACTGATACTGAAGTATACTGCATATGTACTATGTATATGTATTAGTGTTCCTAGGTTCAGTTCAGTTCAGTTCAGGTTCATGAACCAGGTTCATTGAACCTGAACTGAACTTCAAATT